CCCCCCCCCCCCCAGGATGTTGGGGAAAAGTGCACTCATACGTTGCTGGTGGGACTGCAGATTGGAGTAACCATTCTGGAAAGCAGTATGGAGATTCCTCAGAAAATTTGGAAGGTTTGCAATGGAACTACCATTTGACCCAGCTATCCCACTCCTCGGTTTATGCCCAAAGGGCTTAAGATTGCTGTACTGTACTGAGACAGCTGCATCAATGTTCATAGCAGCTCAATTCACAATAGCTAAGCTATGGAACCCACCTAGGTGCCCTTCAATAGATAAATGCATAAAGAAAATGTGGTACATATACACAATGGAATATTACTCAGCCATAAAGAATGGAATTATGGCATTTGCAGGTAAATGGTTGGAATAGGCGGCTACCATGCTAAGTGAAATAGGCCAATCCCCAGAAACCAAAGGCCCAATGTTCTCTCTGATATGTAGCTGCTGACTCACAATGGGGTGGGGTGGAGGTTTACCAGATTGGGCAGGGGGGAATGGGGAGAAAGGACGGGGTATGGGAATGGGATAGACAGTGGAATGAACTGGCCCTCACTTTCCTATGGTCTTATAGGAATATACGACGGGCTGTACAACCACAAAAATGGGAAGTTACACTCCATGTACATAGAACATGATATTCTACCACCCCAAGGGCCCAAGGGCTGCACCTTCTCTTCAGGTCAGGGTGGCTGAGGACCTGCTTGCTGGGTCAGTGGCCTGGGTGCTGGGAGATCCTGAGGGAGGTGAGGCCCCCAGCCCTATGCCCCAGAGGGAGGGTGCCACGCGTGCAGGTGGTGGCTCCCTGGCCACAGGGCACCGGGCCACGATGGAGGGCCACGCCACTGGCAGGTGCACAAGGGAGGGTCAGCTGGGGCTCAGGCCAGGCCAGGGCAGCGCTGAGACCCCAGAGGTCTGCCAGCCAGCCCACTCCACCTCCGTCCTCACCTGGCCCCCAGCCTCAGGGTCCTCGCCTGCAACCAAGGCAGCCACTTCCCTGTTCAGTCTCCCTGTGAGGCAGCCAGATGGCGGGTGGCCAGGACCCACTGGAGCGGCAGACACAGCGCCTCGTGAGGTCAGAGATTCCCCAGGAGCCTGCCGCTCCAGGAGTGGACGGAGGCCTCCTGAGCAGCCTCCGTCCATCCCTGGACCAGGCGTCACGAGAGGCCTGTGGTCCCGATGGGGAGCGAGGCTGTCCCAGCAATGCTCACCCCGACATGGCCACGGCCTCCCCTGTGCCACCCCCACGAGGACACCCCACTGTCTGGTGGGGAGACACACACCAGAGGAGGGCCACTCCCCCACCTCCAGGGAGCCTGATCTTCCCCCCACCCCGACTGAGGCAGTTGCTGGGCAGAGGCCCCCTGGGAGGAAGGGTGGTGGAGGTCTGGTCCTTGCCACGACCCCAGGCCCAGCCTGGCACAGTGCAGCCTTTGGTGACTTTTCCAGACACATGGATAGGTTTGATGCCCAGCAGGACCCTCGACCCCTGCTGGCCTGCAGGAGATGCCCCACGGCCTGAGGAGCCTCCAGGCCCCTGGCGCTGCACAGATGGGGAGCCCAAGTCAGGAGGGCCCTGCGGGTCTTCTGGTGACATGGCAGGTCTGAGTCCACCACTGCCCAAGCAAGGGAAGGGACGGTCCAGAAGGACACCAAGCTCCTTCTAGCTGAGCGACTCTGGAAAATAACCTGGAACTGCTCAGCTAGGGCTCCGGCCCTGTGCCCACACGCCCCACGGCGTGACTCTGGGCAAGTGTCCAAATCTTTCTGTGCCTCAGACCCTGGATCTCACCTCAGCCCCCAGGCCAAGCACAAGACGCCCAGGCCGAGTGTCGGTCGGTCACCGTCTGGCAGACGCTGCTGTAGGGAACAGCCTCCCAGCCAGGCCCAGCCCTGCTCCCTCTCCTGGCACCTGCCACACTTGGGGGCTTGGAGACTGAGCCAGAGACCCCACACCTGCCCTGTTGCCCCTATGGCCCCCACCCTGGGGGGCGGGAGGGGCCGGCCCTTCAAGCCGGGGAACTCTGCCCATCAGTCAGCGAATGAAGGCTCTGCCAGCCCAGGAGGCCCCCTGCCTCCCTCTGCACAACCTGGGGCTGACAGAGTGTGGAGACCGCCGGGCGCCCCCCGCCATCTCCTGGGGTTCAGAGCCTGGCTGGAGAGAGAGGGCGCATCCTCCACAGGCTGAGTGGCCCGGCGTCCCGACCCCGAGGAGGAGCCTTCCCAGGACAAGGCCTGAATCCCAGGCTTCCCGGGCAGCCCCAGCACAGGCCCAGAGGAAGAACAGCCCACGGCCAGTCCAGAGAGGCCATAGCACCCCTGCGGCTCCATCGTGCGACACCACTGTCTGCCCTGTTGGTGGTGGGGAGCACCCGGGGTGCAGGCTTCTGGGCGGCTCACCTCTGGGCTGCCCCAGGGGCACTCCCACCCACAGCGAGCCCTCCTGTCCCCTGGGGCGGGACCCACAGGCAGTCCAGGGAAGGACAGCAGCTCGTCCGGGCTGCTCAGAGCCAGACTTGACCCCAGGACTCTCCTGTCCTCTCTGTCCCCCACCCCAAATCTCCCTGAGGCCAAGGCCAGGGCCAGGAGTGTCTGTTGACTGGCTAGTGGAAGGCAGAAAGGGGCGGGGTGGGAGAGCCTCTAGGGCCAGGTCAAGCTCCTCACCCACTTGGCCCCGGGGCACCCAAGCCCAGCAGGCAGGAGGGCGCGTTGGGGCGGGGCCTGCTCTGCCACCCAGCTGTGTGGCCTCCCGAGCGTCCTCTGGTTGTCAGCTGCAGAGTAGGGAGGACATGGGCCTCCCTGCAGGAGGACTCTGTGAGGATGGAGTGGGGTGAGGCCTGCGCCTTGGAGGAACCAGGGCTGTGGGTAAGGGACAGAGCACATGAGCTCTCGTCCACAAGGGCCCTGTTGTGACACTGCCCAACACTTCCGGCAGACCCCAGATCTCCTCCCCGAGTCCTTCCCTGTCAACTCCAAACCTCCCACCCAAGGATCTCTCAGCACCCCATGCTTAAAAGACCCAGCAGCTCCCCCTGGCACCACGCCTCACTTCAGGCTGTGTCCTCTACCCTGCACCCTCTGATCTTACCTGTAGCTAAACATGCCAGACTCCACACACCACAGGGCCTTTGCACCTGCTGCCAGTGCTGCACAGAACTCCACCCCTGTTCCCGAGTCTCTCCCATTTATCTTCCAATTATAGTCCCTGTGTCATTCCCACAAAGAAGCTCTCCAGATTGCTTCGGTTCTCTGAATTCCAGGACTCTCTCCTTTTCACAGATGTCACTATAGATTTAATGATCAATGTCACTTAAATTAAACCATGAGGGCAGATCTGTCTTGGGCACTTTTGCATCCCTGTTGTCCACCAGAAGCACTGGCAGATAAGAGGTGCTCAATGACGACATGTTAAAGGAAGTTGGGTGGACGGTTGGTTGGGTGGGTGGGTAGATGAATGGATGGACAAATGGTGGATGGATAGAAGGATAATGGATGGATGGTGGATGGATAAAATAGATGGATGGATGGTGGATGGATGGAAGGTGGAAGAATTGATGGTGGATGGATAGATTGTGGATGGAAGGTGGATGGATGGATGGTAGAAGGATGGGATGGATGGATAGATGGAATGGAAGGATGGTGGATAGATGGATGGGTGGTGGATGGATAGATAAGTGGTAGATGGATGGATAATGGATGGATGATGGATGGGTGGATGGATGGATGGCAGATGGATGGGATGGACGGAAGGTGGGAGGATTGGTGGTGGATGGATGGTGGGTGAGTGGATGGATTGTCGATGGATGGATAATGGATGGTTGGAAGGTGGATGTATGGGATGGATGGAGGATGGATGGATGGGTGGGATGGATGGATGGATTAGTGGAGGATGGATGGATGGATAGATTTTGGGTGGATGAATGGTGGGTGGATGGATTGTGGATTAATGGGTGATGACTGGGTGTGGATGGATGGATGGATGGTGGATGATGTGGATGGGTGGATTATGGATGGATGGATATGGATAGATGGATGGTGGATGGATAGATTGGATGGTGGATAGATAGTGGATGGATGGTGGATGGATGGATGGTAGGTGGATGGTATGGATAATGGGTAGAAGGATGGTTGGATGGATGGATGAATGATGGATGGATGAATGGTGGATGGATGGATGTGGAGGATGATCAATGGATTAATCAATGATGGATGGATGGTGGATGGATGGATGGACAGATGGTGGATAGATGGATGTATGGGTTAAAGATGGCTGGCTGGAATGGTGAGTGAACTGGTGGCTCTGGGTCTCCAGGTCTCTGACCCCAGCCTGCCAGAGGTGGGGTCCTGAGGACATCTGCAGCTCTGGGGAGATTTGCCAGGCGTCTCCACAGAGACCAGTAACGCGAGTCCACAGGGCTGAGTTCACTTTATCTTGGAGCGGAAACAGAGGGGTGGGGGGCCAGCCCACAGGTCGGGTGTAGCTCCCAGCCAGGTCCCTGGCCCACTGTCTGCGCCCCAACAGCCCCAAGGCCAACCTGGGTCCCTGGGCCTCCACTTGGATGCCCAGCAGAACCCGTCCATGTGGGGGTGGGCCCACAGAAGAGGCTGTGGCCATTCCCAGGGTTAGTTACAGATTCAAGTGTCCAGTCCAGGTCAGCGGCTGGGAGGGGAAGGCAGGGCAGCTGTGGGCACGTCTTGGTGGGCAGTCATATCCCTCCTCCTGTACCAATGGGCAGGGGGCTTCCCAGGTGCCACTGTGACCACCAGGGCCCCAGGCTGCCCCACCCCAGTGTCAGTGAGTGGCCTGGCCTGAGACCCCCGAGCACCTGACTCCCCCCCAAACAGTCAGCGTGCGCGCAGCTCCTCAGTTGGAAAGGCAGCCCAGCCAGGACAGGAGTCCAGTCCACACCAGGGCCAGGAACCCTCACGCTCCAGGGACACACGCCAAGTCCAGCCGGAAGGAGACTGCTGCCCACCGTGGGACAGAGGCAGCTGCGTTTTGGTACGTTTCCTTTAAAGGCAAGAAAGGGTCTGTCTTTGGGTCAGGGCCCTGGCTGCAGGAGCCTCGCAGCAGGTGGGGCTCAGGCAGGGGGCACTCCAGAGGCTCATGCGGAGAAAGGAGCAGCAGTGACGAGGTGTCCTGGCCTGAGAGGTCCGAGGGACGGCTGAGCACCACGAGGCCATGACAGGGCACCTGGGCGGCAGCAGAGCCATGGCCTGCAGGCAAGAAGGGAAGGTGAGTGAGCCACCCAGGCCCAGGGCCGAACCAGAGGGCCTCAGTAATGGACATCTAGGGACCTCTTGGGCCGAGCAGCTTGAGAGAGACGTGGATCTGAGAGGGACCTGGAGAGAGGGCAGGAGAGGCCGGTCCCTGAGACCTCAGGCGGTGACAGGGCTGGGACTCCCTCATGCTCCTGCTGTGTGGCCCGGGGAAGGCCTTAACCTTTCTGAGCCTGTCTCAGAATGTCAGCCTGTGAGAGGGGGGCAGCCACCACTGCTGCACTAGTGCTGCCCAGTCCCACACCCAGGGAAGGGACATGGAAGCTCTGCACACAGAGAACACAGCGACGGGCCACCCCGCCTTCTGGCCTGGTGGGAGCAGGGGGGGCCGCCTGAGCTGGGGAGGCTGATCCAGGAAAGGGGACCGGAAGGAGACCGTGGCCATGGGGACAGGAGAGCAGCCTGACCTGGCCAGCAGCTTGGCCAGGAAAATTCCACAGTCCCCTGCTGTCCCCTCCTGCCCCGGTTGGGCGCCCAGATCCCTAAAACCAGCCTCTCCTTCGTCCTGCCACTCCCCAGCCCCCACCTCACCCCAGAGCCCTTCTCGGGCCAGAGACCCCGGAGACTCCAGCCCCCGCCCTGGCCACCGCAGGTCCCAACGCCACAGACCCACAGCTCCCGGGCCCCGCCTGGTGCCGAGCCACTCCCCTGGCTGCTCCCCACCCCATCCCAGCTGTCCTCCAGGGCGGTCAGGAGGGAGGCCAGGCCCAGAGGGGCAGGGGCAGGGTGCGCACCCTGGTTCAGGGCTCCCGCGGGACCACACCACGCAGGTGCAGCTCGCTCTCAGCGGCCACGATGGGCTGCCCGTTCTGCAGGTGGTAGGCAATGAGGTGGCTGATGCTCTCGAACAGCACGTCCTTTGTCCGCACCTGCGGGACCAGAGACCTGGCATCGGTGCTCAGGGGCTAGTCCAAGAGGCCAGCCCCTGCCCTGTCCAGGCCTGCTGACTGGCACGTTCCCCCAGGGGCCCGTCTGCAGCCCAGTCAGAGCCACTGGGTCAGAGGACTCCGGGGTTTAGCCACAGAACCAGCCTCAGAGCTCAGAACCCCAGCAGGACCTGGGCCGCACTTCCCACAGGGCGCTGAGGGGCGGCCTCCCAGAGGTCCTGACAGGTCCGAGCCCGGAACCTGAGAGCGTCTGCACTACCCGGGGGGGCCCTCGACCCAATGACTGGTGTCCTTATAAGAAGAAAACTTAGGACCAGGGACATCCAGGAAGACGGACAGCACTCGGATGTGGAGGCCGTGGGCATGGGAGATGGATCTACCAGCCAAGGGCAGGAGGCCGGCCGGCAGCCGGCACCCACTAGGAGGTGGGAGGGGCCGGGCCCAGATGTCCCCTCCCAGGACTCAGCCCTGCCCGCACCTCAGGTTTGGACTTCAGCCTCCAGAAGGTGGGAGAACAAAGGTCTGTGGCTTTAAGCCGTACGGTTTATGGCCATTTGCTGAAATAGCCCCAGAAAGTGATACACCCCGGAAATCTTAGAGATGAAGACTCGGAAGTCAGAATCGCCAAGTGCAAACACCTGCACTAAAGGAGGGGACAGGTCACTGAGTCAGATGATGGATGCCAAAGAGACCAGCGCCAGCTGCTCGCTGCAGGCCTCCCGGGAAGAGCCTCGCCAGCGCTCAGCCGCTGGGCCCCGCCGGCCAGGGCACAGCGTCTCCACCTGCCAGGGCACCTGAACTGATGCAGGGGTCCATTACAGGAAACGGAACAGGCCCGGACAGAGCTGGCCCATCCCACGCCAGGCCGGAAGGGAGGCCTGAGAGTGGCTCAGGGAGGGCAGGCGCCTGAGTACCTGACCGGCAGAAAAGCAGGTGGCACTTCTGAGGTGGCTTCCACCCCAGGGGACCCCGCCTATGAGGCCAGAGGCCTCTGGACGCTGGAAAATGCCTGACACTAGAGCTCCCCGTAAACTAGAAAATGCTTTTTAAACTGTAAAGCGCTTCAGAAACTGGAGGTGACGAGATCTCCCTTGCTTAAAGCAACTGTAAAATGCACCAAGAGGATAGAGAGAAAACTCCCTGATAAACGATGCAGATCAAACACACGACTGATGACTTAGAGATCCAGATTCCAGCTGGACACGGCGGTGCACACCTGTCATCCCAGCAGCTTGGGAGGCTGAGGCAGGAGGCTCAAAAGTTCAAAGCCAGCCTCAGCCTCAGCGAGGCCCTAAGCAACTCAGTGAGACCCCGTCTCTAAATAAAATACAGCATGGGGCTGGGATGCGGCTCGGTGGTCGAGGGCCCCCGAGTTCAATCCCTGGTAACCCCCCCAAAAAAACCTCCAGATCCCAGAGTTGTGGAGATTGGATGGGGAGTGTCTGCAGCTGGCCACACCTCACCCCACCAGCCCCAACAGCAGGACCTCAGGGACGGGCCACAGGTGCCTCCCAGGAAGGATGAAGCGGGCTCTCTGTAGGCCATGGCGGGCCTGGCCCTGGCAGCACTTGTGTCCACCCCAAGCCCTCTCTCAACTGGAAGCAGCTGTGGGTCCTGCCAAGCAGCCTCCAACACCCTCCTGCAGCCTGGGAGGCCACCCAGCCCCGAACCTTACCACACCTTCGGGGTCCACCAGCAGCAGGTGCTTGGGCTGCCCGGCCTGCATGCCCGTGAGGACGTACTGCCCGGGGTTGGTGACACTGTCACGCACCAGGAAGTCCCCGTCCACACGGAGCAGCTTCTCTGCCGCCCGCCGACTCATGCGGCCATGGTACCAGGGCTCCTGCCGCAGCTGTTCCTCTGTGGGGGCAACTGGGGCCCGCCGGGTGGGGGGGCTGGGCCACTGGTCCTCCAGGGGAGGCAGGGGTGCCGTCCCACCCACCACCACCGAACACTCGTGCAGCTTCAGGGCGTCCTCGAAGGGTCCTGTGGGCAGGACAGGAGCACGTGTGCGCCTCCTCCGGGTCAGGAGTGTGCGGCCCCAGGGTGCCTTGGAGAGTCGGGCAGTCTCAGAGCGAGCCGCACTGGCCTCCCTGACCAGGGAAGGACAGCCCAGAACCCGGTACCCAGTGGGCACTGAAGGGGCACCACCACTCATCATTACGGCAGTAGGAAGAAGAAACAGAGGGCAGAAAACAAGGGCTTGGAAACAAAAGCCTTCCAGCTTCCCGCAGGCCCTGGGGGCTGTCCCCACAGTGCCCAGGAGGAGGGGGCTGCCGGGGACAGGAGAGGTGAGCCACTCCAGGCCTCCCCACAGGCCTCTTTGAGCTGAGCCTCCTCCGCAGGCTGCACACCCCACAGGGAGCAGGACAGGTTCCACTGTCACACTTGTCCTGTCCAGCGGAGACCCCTGTGGGACCAAGGATCCCTCGGGAGCAGCGGTGCCTCTCCCTGTGGACTGCAGTCACCCTGGGAAGGGGTGGTCCTCACCGAGTTGCAGGCAGCTCTGGTAGTAGGGTCCAGAGGCAGGAGCAGGGCTCCCCAGAGGGCGAGGCCATTCCCCAGGAAGGCCCCAGAGCAGCCCAGCAATAGACCCCACAGACAGAGGCCCTGTGCAGGTCGGCCTTCCCCACCCGTGGGCTCGCAGCCTGTGGAGAGGGGCCCCCACCTACGCATATCAAACAGGTCCTTCTGAGGGCTGTCCTCGGGGGGCAGGGGCGCAGGGTCCACAGGTTCTGCAGTGTCCAGGCCCTGGGTGTTGACGTACAGATGGTCCTCGTAGTCCCGTGGCCCCCGGGCGTCAGCCTGCACATAGCCATCCCCCGGCTGGGCTGGGTAGGTGGGGAGGGGCAGGGGTCAGTGGGAGTGAGGGCAGCCGCAGGACCCGCCCATTCCTAGCAGCACATGGAGTGCCCGGTGGCCAGTTTGGTTCGGAGTCTGCAGCGGCATTTCTTAATGCCTACAGCGTTCACCCAGCTCCAAGGCCACAGCTGGCCCGGGCAGGCCCAGAGCCTCTCACTGGTCCTCCAGAGCCTCTCCTGCCCCACCTGGTGGCCAGCGGGTGCCAGGCTGCTCCACCTTGGCCAGGGGTGGCCGCTCCCTGGTTACCCTGACTTTCACCTCTCCTGGCTCAGGGGGTCCTCGAGTCTTGTTTTGTGTTTTTCTCAGAACTGAGTCCTGGGCAGGACGTCAGGAGGTGGCAGCACATCTCATTATGTCACTACTCTGGGGACACCTGGGCTCCCATCCCGGCGCTCTCCTGCCGTGGGCACAGGCGGGGTGACTGGCCTCTCTGCAGCTCCCTCTCTTCCTCTGTAAAGCGCCTCCCTCTGGGAGGGGGCGCTTCCTCCTTCAGAGGAGGGAGCTCAGTGCCAGGCCGGGGGCCTGTGTGACAGTGGTGAGGAGAGGTCCGCCTGCGCGGCACAGGAGACCGCTCACGCCCCAGGCAGGGGCCCCGCTGCCACCAGGGACTCGGAGCACAGGTGGCTCCAGCATGCAGGGAAAGTTCCGGGAACCTCGAGAAGACCCTGGCCACTCACAGAGGCTGCAGCTGGGGAGGGGGCTCCTCCTGCCCAGGCATTTTGGCATTTTGAACCACATGACCAGAGTCGTCCCAGAGTACCAGGAGACCCCTCCACGGGAGGGAGAGATGCACAGCTCAGCAGACAGCACACAGCCTGCGTATGCCCTGGGGTGACCCGCAGATGGGGGACATGTCCTACCTGAACCCGAGGGACCCAGGTCCCACTGCAGGCCGCAGGCGTCTCTCCAGGCAGATGAGCCCTGAGGAAGACAGGCAGGACCCTGGGCGCTGCCAGCCCTCTCCCCAGCAGCACCCGGCTCCCGCCCAGCCCAGACGCCGGGCCTCAGCTCCCTGGCTCCCTGGCTCTCCAGGCGCCGCAGTGGCCTCAGGGCTCCTGGGTGCCACCACCTCCACGGCGGCCTGGGCTGCCTTCTCTGCCCTGCAGCAGACCGCCACCCTCCCGCTGCCGCACCCCTGCTGAGCTGCCCGGACCCTCTGCTCTGTGCTCCTGGGCAGCTCCTCCCCCCCAGAGCCCAGCCCCTGCTGCTTCCTCAGGAGAGGCCAGGCCCTCTGAGGGACTGGCCCTGAGGTCCTGCTCTTGGTGGTGACTGGGTCAGGTCTGTCACTGCTTGTCCACCAAGAGGGGCTCCTGCCTACCACACTGCCCAGGCCAGAGGAGGTCCGAAGCAGGCCACAGGCCAAGGTCTTTGTGAACCATGAAGGACAAGAGGGGGAATGAAGGTGAGCACAGAGACGCCAGGACTGAGGCCACAGGAGAGGCAGGGGTCACGTCCAGGGGTCTGTCCCCCACCCCAGAACCAAGGCTGACCTGGCTGAGGGCCCCGAGGGTGCAGGGATGGGTGGCTGGGAGCCTGGAGTCCACCAGACCACCCGGGGGTGGCTCCTTCCCCGGGATGCTGTTGTAGTAGTCGTGTCCCTCGGCCTCCTCCTCGTCCCCCAAGGCCGACTCCTCCAGCCCAGTCAGCCTGGGGACAGAGCAACAACTGGCTGGAGGGTAGAAAGGACAGTGGGACCTTGCCCACCAGGACCTGCTGTGAAGCGGCTCCACCGTCCCCTTGGGATGCGGAGGCGGCACCTTCTCAGAGCCAGCCGCTCCTCACCCACCTCGGCCACCAGGCAGCAGAGGGTGACATGTCTGGTGGTACCTGGACACAGGATGTGGTGGGGTCCCTCAGACTGCAGCGCCCTTGGGCCCCGATTGCCTGGGGGGACCCGTCCACTGCAGCAGCGTCCTGGGCGCACTCTGCCGCTGCCACTCACTTGCCTGTACATTACCGGGCTCCCAACACGAAGGTGTGTGTCCCCCGCTCCCTGGCCGCCGGCCAGCCCGCTGTCCCACAGCGGGTTCTCACACCTCCAGGTCGTGAACACCCACAGGGTGGCACTGTGCCGCTGGTGAAGGGGTGGCAGGAAGGGCTGTGGGCACCTCCGGGCACTCCTCCTGCATGCCGTGGCAGGCAGGGCCACAGGAGCCTCAGCCTCGGCTGGACAGATGCTTGGGGGACCTGCTACTTAAACTTGGCCCCCCGCCCTGGGGGGGAGAAGACACGAGTCCTCCCGTGGGGACCTTCCCAGGGCCGAGGGAAGGAGGGCAGAGGCGGGCCCAGTGTGTGGGGGTGGCCTCACCTCTCAGGGGGCACCGCTGCCATCGGGGGGCCATGCAGGTACTGCTTGAAGCGCAGCTCAAAGGCCTGGCCCACGGTGCCGATCACGCTCTGCGCCAGACCCTCACAGCACTCCAGGATGTGGCAGGCTGGGGACAGCAGTGACCTTGGGACCTGGCTCCCCACCATGCCCCACGGGCCAGCCTCCCACCGTGCCTCACCTCTCTGGTTGATGGGGTCCTTGGCGACATAGGCCACGTAGTCCAGCATGTCCTGGGGAGAGGCGGAGGGTCAGCTGGACCTGCCTGGCCACACCCCCCAGGCAGGTCTGAGGAAAAGCCACGGGGTCTTGAGGCCGCTCGCCTTCCCGCTGGGCCTTACCGTGTCGCCGCCTGAGGCGAAGGAGATGGACTGCATGTGGTGGGTGGCGAGGACCTGGGGGAGGAAGGGCACCAGCTGCTGCCAGGCAGGACCCGCCACGGCCCTGTGCTGGGCAGGGCTGTGGGGGGCAAGAAGGCAGGGGCAGGGGTGCAGGTTCCCCTACCTGGCACCCTCCACGGCTGGACCCGGTCACCAAGACAACCAAGTCCCACCAGGACATTTGGCCCTGGAGGATGGGGCCCGGGCTTAGGGAGGGTGAGGTCAGGTCTGGTCACCAGGCTGCCTGCACTGGTGGACACCTCACACTGCACCTCCAATACACAGCCACAGAGACACGGGGGACACACAGCCATGGTGACGCACCCCAGCAGCCCATCCCACGCACTGTCCACCTCGTTTGCTTATTTGCCTCATCTGCCACCTGTCACTCAAGCCCCTTCAGAACCCAGTGATGGTCAGGCAGGCCGTGTCCTCCCACCAAAAGTCCATTCCTCAGCCTCATGGAGTCCCATGCCTCCCAGGGGACCCCAGCCAAGCTGCTCTCTCTGGGAGCCTGAGAACCCTCGGCAGGACCCCAGGTCAGCGCCTCACAAGGGCAGACGGTGAGGCCTCGGGCAGCCCCGTCTAGCGCTCCACCTCACATGGGCCTGAGGGCCTCCAGCACGTGGTAGAGGCCTCACAGCCCAGTCCACCCCAGGCTCTGGCCCTCTGGCCCCACTCCTCATGGCCTCACCACCCTCTCCAGAGCAGTCCCCTGGGGCCCTGCCACTGGACCTCTCTTGGGCGCCACCCCTCCCTCTTCACTCAGGGCCTGCTCAGCCCCTGGCCGGCAAGAGTGCTCCGAGACTCCCTCCCGGGTCCCCACGGCCTCACTGTCAGCAGAGCTGCTCCCGGCCGTCCATCAGCACAGGGCTCTAGACCCCTCCCAGCCCCCACACTCCCGGCTTGGCGCCTAGGTCCTGGCGCCCCTGAGCTGCTGCCACAGGCCCCGAATCCCTCCGCCACCTAGCCCTGTAGCAAGGGCCCGCTGCCCCCACCCCCCAGCCTCACGGAGCCAGACCTGCTCTGGCTGCAGAGCCCCTCTCCCCGGGGGCGGAGCACCTTCCCGACGAAACCCCTGGAGTGGGCTGCACTTGCTCCCAGGCTGGGCTCCCACCCCAACCCGGCTCTGCATGCCCTCCTGCGCCCCAGCCTCTGCCTCCACGGAGGCCCGAGCCAGCCTCCAAGCTGAATCTCCCTGCCCGAGGCTCCCTCGAGGTCGTCCTAAATGCCACCCAGCCTGACGTCCAGCCCAGACTCCTTTGACTCTCAGACCAGAAAGAGTAAGCGGCAAGTGTCCACAGCACCTGAGACCCAGACCTGTTCCAGGCCACGAGGGCCTCCCACAGTTGTCTCCTGAACACCCCCGGCCCTCGTAGCCAGTCCCTGGGCAGGGGCTGTGTGGCCCCTTTCCCCCGGGGCCCATCCCTGGCCTGGCTGGCCTCCTCGCGGGCCTGGCCCCGGGGTGGCTCTGGCCCCGAGCCCCTCACTGCCTCCCCGGGCCTCCCTGCTCCTGGGGGGCAGGGCTCTCAGGGTTCCTGATTGACCCTCATCTGTCTGCTTCCACCTGAGGCCAGAAGCCAGGCTCTCCCCGGCCCGGCCTGCCTCCTCCCAGCTCTGACCACTGCGGATGCTGCACCCTGGGCCCAGGGAGCAGGCTGTGGAGCCCTGGGCTCCCGACTCCAGTGGCCCAGGGACACGACGTCATGTGATGCACCAGCCCCACGCCTCCCACCCCACCTTAGTGTGCATCAGATGCTCCTGGACCCCCTGAGGGCCCTGGAGACCCCAGGAGGGGCCCAGGGCCTGAGGGCTGGGACGGGTGGCACCCACCTGGCGGGTGGCCGGCACCGAGAGGTTGAGGCCTTCGATGGAGATGTTGACAGAAATGCTCATGCCAGCAAAGCGCAGGTTGCTCTTGCCCAGGATGGAGGCCAGCGCCTTATTGGGGGCCTGGGTGGGCAGAGCGAGCATGGGCTGACGTGGCAGGGCCCAGCCCAGGGGCCAGGGCACCCCCCAGCCCAGCCTCCCTCTCCACCCCACCCACCTTCTTCTTCCAGGAGCCCCGGATTCCGGGCACAGCCTCGTGGAGTCGGTTGATGGCTTCCCTGTGAGTGAGGAGGAGGAGAGCTGAGAGAGGAAGGGCGCCCAGAGACAGTGGGGCACGGGGAGGACGGGGTCAGAGGGGAAGGAGCCAGGAGAGAGCGCCAGGGCTGAGATGGGGGGGCCCGGGCGGGGCAGGGGCACCAGGAGGAAGACTGGGCTGGCCACCACCCAGCCACTAGCCGGCCCCCTCAGCTGCAGCCCATCACACTGCCTTCTCCAGTGACAAGTGTAGCCCTGGGAGGGGTCAGACTCAGGGGACAGACAAGCAGGCAGGGTCCTCTGCCTGGTGCCCCTGGGGGCATGAAGAGACCCCAACAGTGTGGGAGTCACTGGTCCCCAGGAGGCTGGGACCTGCGCAGGATCCTGAGGATCACAGAGGACACAGGTTCTGGAGGAGCTCAGCATCATGCAGAGAAATGGGCCCACACAGGGCGGGGACACAGGGCGGGCCGTTGCTGAGGAAGCAGTCACTGTCACCAGACAACGGAGCGTGCCCACTCTAGGCATCCCCAGAGACAGAGGCACCCACCAAGGCTGGTGAACACTCCCGAGCACGGCAAAGAGGCGCAGCCCAGGCGTCCACAGGAGGACAGAGGGACACACAGCACAGTCCCTCCCCCTGGAACATCCCTTGGTCACCAGCAGGAGCAAGGTGACACAGCTGCAGGACCTGAGGACCTGGTGCTCAGTGAGAGCTAGACACACAAGGACACAGTGTGTGACCCCGTGACGGGGGGGTCCAGGACAGGGGAGTCCTGTGGGTGCGGGCTGGGAGCGGATGGGGGACTGCTTGTAGGGATGGGCTTCCTTCTGGGGTGACGGAATGTTCTGGGCCTAGACAGAGGCCCGGTCACACACAGTGTGGAGACACCAAGAAGCACAGACTTGTGCACCCTGAACGGGTGGCGGTGCGGTGTGTGGACTGTACCCAAGAGCACATTTTAAGTTCGTAGTTAGGGAATAAGTCGATTTCCACAGGAAGAAGCTGGTCCCACAAGCAGGCCCTGTTGTGCCCAACCTGAATGGCCCTTCTGGACAGCTCCGAGCCCTGTGAGATGGCCCAGGATGGCCCGGACCCCTCCCGGGCAGGCCTCAGGGAGCAGCCAGCGCCTGGAGTCCACTGCGAGGGGCCCTCCCCAGCCCCTCCCACAGTCACAGAACACACAGGGCAGGCCGGCTGTGCCGCCCAACCAAGGAAAACAGGGTCTGCTGAGCAAGAGCCACCAAGGAGCTACAACCGGCCCCACAACCTGGCCCTGCCCGCCCGCCCCCACCACCAAGGCTCACCTGGTCACCTGGGTGCGTGTGCTGAAGTCCAGGGAGCGCATGGAGCGGAGCACCTCGATGCAGCCCATGTACTGGGGAGAGAGAGGACCTGAGCAGGTGTGGCCAGGTCCCTTCTCCAGCCAGCGAGCGCCACACTCCTGGTGCCCCTGGTTCCTATCAGCCCCGGCCCCTGCCTCAGGGCCTCTCCATTCCCCTGGCCCTTCCCACCTGGAGGGGAGCTCAACTCCCCACGACTGCACTGTGCTGTGTGTCCACCCCAACCTGTCTGCCCTGGCTCAGACCTCCCCTCTAGAAGGTGACACGAGGACAGGGACCGTGTGGTCCTATTTGCTGTACCCTGCACCCCGCACAGGGCCTGGGAATAGGACAGAGACGGGGGGGGGGGGGGGGGGGGGGGGCCACGCAGGAAGGGGGAGGGGCCCCCCCCCCGGGAGGGGCGAGGGGGACCCCCCCCCCGTGGGGGGGCGACCCCCGAGGGGACCGGGAGGCG